CATTGTCATGTAGGATGCGGGCAGTGTTGCCGACGGTGGTTGCGGGGGCCTTACAAGGGGCAGCAGCACTGGGAGCAGTGGCAGTACGAGTACGTGTAGGAGCAGGACTAGGACCAGGAGTAGTACTGGGAGAGTAGCATGGTAGTAGTCGTCGCCGTAGTAATTATTATTATCAGTAGTAGTAGTAGTAGTAGTAGTAGTAGTAGTAGTAGTAGTAGTAGTAGTAGTAGTAGTAGTAGTAGTAGTAGTAGTAGTAGTAGTAGTAGTACTAGTAGTAGTAGTAGTAGTAGTAGTAGTCGTCGTCGTCGTCGTCGTCGTCGTCGTCGTCGTAGTCCTAGCACGAGTCGCCTTCGTTGTCGTCGTCGTAGTAGCAGTTACCTCTCGGAGTCCCTGGGTTAGTGTTTGACATATTAGATATATCGTTTCGATTCTATGGAAGTACACTTGAATGTGAAAGCCTGCAGGAAGATGTTGCGCCAGGCAAGGATTTCGGAAAGACCCTCAACGCTGCAGGCTCTGCGAAACCTTAAATCTCAAACTGAAGGCCGCATATACGATAGGCATCCGTGTGTTTACTGCTGCTTCAAGGCCTCTGGGATGAAAGAGCTGCAAGCGATCAGCATCTGGCTCGAATCCGCGCTGGACCTCACCGCCTCTCCAGAAATCTGCTCTGCGAGTGTAAGCATGGTGTGTCCACAAAGACTTCAATCGGCTGTCATATGGCCAACGTGACGACTTCAACACGTGCAGCCTGTCTTTCTCGAGGGATGCCGGCATGTGCAGCATGCAAAATAAACTGTTTACAGCAGCCGTGGCGGTCTTTCAGAAGATCCGGACGTGGATTGATGGGAACTTTACTGTGTCTGGAATCAGAGCCAACGCACATTCTGGAGCAAAGCTTCCCCCGTACACGGTTGAGCGCTGATCGAAGCAGGAAACTCGAAACCAAAGAGCCGGCTGAGTTAGTCGCCATGTCGTGCACTGCATAATCCAGCTCGCGCGGGCCCCATACCTGGGAACAGGAATGAACAGGATTTGCTTGAAGCTCGAAGTGGAGCTAGGGCACCGATCGCGGAGGTCGTCTCAAAATCTAGGTTATTTGCTGTTGGTCTTCCAAACTTGCTTCAACACTTCTGATGTTCCCCTGTTCATGCTGCTCCTGCTACACATCAACATACAGTTTTGAACAGAACTTGCTGGAAGTGGTTTGAGCTTTGATGTCTGACGTGGTGAAAGGACACCTGAAGGCAATTGTCCAGTAACTTAATAACCCGGGCAACACCTGTCGAACATGCGGCGCAAGACTGTAGGTTGGCACATATTCGGATCAGCAGGAAATTCATGTGGTTTTGACAAATCTGAAGAAGGGAGAAAGGTCAAAGGTTGCAATAAGTACTCATTGAAGCGGAATTCAACCCTAAACCCGTTCCCCGATATTCCAAGCTCTAAACCCCCATAAACCTCAAAAGCGCCGAAAGCCTACACAACCAGTGCAGAGAGAGTCGCCGCCAGCTGAGCCTCCGCCATGGCTAAGCCGCTCTCAGAGCGGGGCGGAGAGGGGCCGCTTGAGAGGTGCCCGGAGCCGACACGCCGTCGTTTCGAGTTCAGAAAGGGCTTAGGGTTTGTCAGGCTTTATATAGGGTTTATATACCGTTTAGGGTCTATACAAGGGGTCATCTTATAGAGTCTATATAGGGTTTAGGGTTTATACCGGGTTTAAGGGAGCCCGGAGCCGGTGTGTCCATGTGTTTGGTTTGGGTTTGTTGAGGCTTTCAGCCAGCATCACCGCTGAATGTTTCAATCTTGAGGCTTTGGGGTTCGGGGCTGTAGCAGGGCTTCAATTTGTCATCTTGAAACTGATTCAAAGCCTCTTCGGGTTCAGGGGAAGATCGTCCCAGCCCACTCTTTTCTTCCTGCCTGCACATCATGGCCATTCCGAGCTGGAGGATGTCTAAGGCTGCCCTGTTCAGACCCACTCACCCCTCAAGTTCAGCAGGTTTAGAGTTGGGGCTTCAATCAAGAACTGAAGCCTACAACCCCGAACACGCTGTCCTTCAAAAATAGTCTTCGTTCAGCTACACTCTTTGCCGAACTACGATCACCACAAAACATTCCTATGACCAGTGGCATCCCCCCCCCCCCGCATGCTACAGTATTGCCGTGATACTCCCTTTCTGTGACAACTCTCGACCCTGTCGCCACTACCTACAACTTCTATAACTGTTTCTGTCATTCTTTAGGTCTATATAAGTATTTAAAAGTCTACACCAATTACTGTGAGACTTCTGTGGTTGCCTCGCATTCATTCAACTCAACTCTTATGGCACGCGTGTAGCATGACTCATGATTCTCAGTATCAGTATGTTCCCGAACCGGACATCACCGACTACGCAGCAAAGTCTGAGCAGGGCTCTGCATGAACAGGTGTGGAGGAACTTGCTTAGATGGGACCCTGGGATGGCTATAGGTAATTACTCTGACGAAGTAGTTTGAATAGTTGTCGGTGGATCAGGTTCAAACACAATTGAGATTCCCAGGGGCCCGATAAGTAGTGCTCCAGCATTCTTTGGTTCGCGCGTTTTTGCGCGACGCGTGGCGCACCACTTCATTACCGTTGGCGGAAATCCTCCGCCGGCTATGGCCAACCTGCTCCACCACCGTTTTCTTCTAGAACCATCACATGCGCAGCTATGTCCGAAGCGGGTTGCTGCTCATCGACATATTTTCTCCCCCTGAACAAATTCCAAACATTCAGATCTTGCCAGCACTGCGTCGACCCTGCGGCTGTCCCTCGACAGTTATTATAGACTGCTGGTTTCAGGTCCCATAAAAACCGAAAACCTCAAGCGACGACGGTGAGAGAAGGCGGGGCTTCAGACGTGGGCGGGACCATCTCCGAGCTTTCCGTAGCCTCCTGGACGCTGAGTGCAGCTTCGAAGGCGACCCGACAGCAACAGTAAGAGTAGGAGTAACAGTAATAGTGATAGTAATACTGATAATGATAGTAATAATCTTTAAAATAGCAATAATGGCAATGCTAATAGTATTAACTCAAGTTGTATTTGCAATAGAGTTTCCGGCAACTCCCCGAAAATGGAGCGGATTCTCGGATTGGTCACGGCTCAATGTCTTAGCTTGGCCACACGAGCAATCAAGACGGGCACTTCCTTAACCATCGAGGCCTCAGTGGGCATCCAATCCCTCACTACGCGAGCCAAAGCTTGAAGCGAAATCCTGGGACCCTACGCAGCCAAGCCGGATATCCCTGTAACCTCGTGTTTACGCCCGGACGCAGCAGCTTCCCTCCGAGGCTCCTTGGGTGGCTCCTGGCACAGTTCAGGACTCTGGCAAGCTCTCCCATCAGCCGGGGTCTGAGGAATAATACTTCAGCTTTGAGTCCTCCCACAGCCGACAAAGCAACGTGCTTACCAGCCAACAGATGTCGACCATCATGGACGAACCAGCCACTTCAATCCCAAGATGTGGGCAACACACCCTGACACACGGCTTAAGGGAACCCTTATCCCACACAGACTTGCACTGGCATTGTCTAGAGCTCATGACTACTGCGCTAGTAGCATCGGTTTCCAGCACTACATAGCCCAGAGTACCTAAGATCCTGGTCGAACAGAACCAGGAAGAGATTCGAGTCTTCTAACCCCGACATTTTTCAAACAAAGTCAAAACGATGGATCCTACCCTCTCGCCCACCCCTGAACCCCCCACCCTATCGTTTGCGAAAGCTCGTCTCACCCACCATGCACATGATGGCCTCTTCCTCGGCCATCATCTCCTGTCAAGCTTGCAGCATCCCATCGGTACCCCTGTTGTCTACAGTAGCTAGCTTTGCTCAGCGAACGAGTCGGGACTCGACAAACGTGATAATTGGATTCCTCAGCCACAAACCGGACAACTGCGGCTACTATGATCTGCGCTTCATGCTGCCAGTTTCAGTAGTCACCAACTGACGGGCCTGACATTGCAAACCCAAATCCCTGAAAGCTGACCTGCTACTGTAGCGCCTCGGCAACCACGTCACCGCCTGCATCTTGAGGTGCTTCGGCAGCGACCAGGGTTACCTGCGAAATTCGAAAACTGCAGTACTCTTATTGGAGTGTTGGTCTTAGTGTGCTATGATAATTTTTAGTATTAGTAGTATTCTCATTGCGTTTCACGAGAATCAGAAGTGCCCTCAGAAACTGCTTGATCCGAAAACCACGAATAACCACGACCAGGGACCACTCCGCTCCGCTGTACGAAACGCCATAAAACATATGCACCCAAGATGTCATTAAGATGACATCTTGTGGTAGGTCACCTGTTCGAGACAGGAGCAACTCGGCAACACACAAATATACAGCCCTTGCACGCTCCCCTTGGTGCAACGCAACCCACAGCCTCAGCGATGGGATCTGCATGGCCAATGGCAATGTCTGCCCGAGAAAGGCCCAATGCCTAGGGTCATGGACCATGGGTTGACGATCTCGTCAGCATGAACGGTTGAAGGCGAGGGGGGTGGGCCGAGCCCAGCCCAAGCATTTCCTTCGATGCAATAGGATCGAAGCTTGTGATGACACTACAGTCACTACAGACTCAGATAGATGCCTGTCCTCCACGTGCATCAACTAAGGCTCCGGGATTAACGCTGCTCTGTTATGCTGTTGGCTTGTGCTTTGGAAAGCCGCTGAGCTTAACTGACGTCGTCAGCTAAGTCAAGCTCAGTGGTTACAAAACACTGTCCGGCCCAAACGCAAACTCTGAAGCCAGTAGAGTTTCAGAAATTAGCGATGCCAATACAGACCCTCAGCAGTAGGATGCTTACAAGGATCCCTGAATAAGAGACCCCTACAGCTTTCAGATACCTTGTAAAGCCCGTCAACTCCCCGTGAATCCTGCGAAGGATCCCGACAAAAGGTAGCCCCCCGTTTCTAACTCTAACCAGCCCGCCCTCATCCCACTTGAACCCTATCATCACCCTACACCCCAAAATTCCAACATCATCAACCCTTAACCCCAAACCCCAGCCGCCCTGCAGCCTCAAACTTCGCCACGAGAAGTGAGTCGGCGCCCTCCGGTCAGCGATTATGTTAAGGCACTCAGAGTTTAGGGTTCAGGGCTTATTGGCTACCATAGTAAGGAAGCTATGACAACTAGTTGCTAGTTGCTATGAAACCATCGTATTCTGCTACTGTAGATAAGATTCCTTAACAAAAGGCCGCACATTGCACCTATGTCTCACATCCTTGAGGACCTTCAAAAGGCCTGACTTCTGTCAGGATTCCAAGTCGAGGGTTACACTCAGTCGAGCCGCAGGCTTAGAAACCGGACGTCGTCAACACAGTCCCAAGCTAGTCTCGCCTAAGCTCGTATCCAAAAGCTGCAAACCCTAAACCAAAAAAGCCAAACCCGACCTTCGGGAACTCGCACTTCTCTGGCAGCCGCGCAGGGCCCTGCAACAAGGGCAGCGCGTTGGCCTCAGGGCTGCCTTTCCTCAGTACCATGCAAGGGGCAACCTATGAATTACAATAAGGTTTTGGGGCACGTTAGTATATATTAAAGCACATGCGCTTTAGGGTCTAGAGTTTGGGGTACATTACATGGTAGAGGCGACTATAAGCGTGCAGCAGGCAGCAAGATCTTGACAAAATCCGACCATCGTTCAACCGAAAACATACTAAGCAGAACAAGCTTCTTGGGCAAGACGACATGGGCCCCGCCATCCGACTCCTGCGCAAGGTCCATGTGTGTGTGTGTGTGTGTGTGTGTGTGTGCGTTGATAACGGAGGTTTGGTCGTTGCGAGTTGTTCCAGAAGAGAAGTAGATGGCTAAGTCTGGGTAGGGCATAGATTCTGATTGCTGCAACACAAACACGAAAGACCACCAGACCACCATCCTAGCCGTCAATGCACATGCTAAGTTGAAAAGGACTACGTCGTCGCGCTGCATGCTTCCCTGCCGCAGCTGATACATTGCCTCATCGAGGTGGCACTGCGTTCAACAACACTCAAAGTGGGCTAGGCGGCAAGTCATCAACCCATTCAAGAGGCGACACTGTGAACATGCTCTTCCCTAACACTGCGCGTTGACAATGCTGAATCGGCCTTGTCGATGACGATCTGCAGCCCATGGAAGGCCAAGAAGGTTTTGGCGTGGTCGTCACTCACGAATGCAAGTATGTTCCTCAGTGTTTCCGGTAATTCTCTCAAACAGCAAGTGCACACCCTGTAGCTCCAAAACAGATCCTGAAAAAGCATCCGAGGATCTTGAGCTTTGCCAAGGAGATCCGATCTCCCACCTGTTGTGGATAGGTTCGGACCTGATGCGGGGCTGACAGCTCGCCGCTAGAAGCCTTGAAGACTAGAATACTCCTCTTTGAAGTGGTGCATCAGTTCACTTTTGGAAGACGGCAGGCCATGTCCTTATGCAACACTGCAACAGCAGGACAAGCACCAGGGTCCCGACCAGCAGCCACAAAGCTCTCAGTCTGGCCTTCATCAAAGCACGGACAGGCAGCCGCAAGGCTTGAACAACAAGTCGCTGTCATTATTGAGCATTCACACCGTATTAGCCCTGAGCAGCTACACGGTCTTGCAATGAGGACCAAGTAATCATTATAAAGACTCTGAGTGGAGCGCCAGGTCTGCGACACCACTCATTGCAACGGCAGAGAGGAAATCGGTTTCGCGGTAGAAACCTCACAGGGTATAGTTTCGTGCCGGCATCTAACAGCCCTTCTTGATTCGGGGCTGCAGGCACCATGCCTTGGCAAATGCAGATGTTTCTGAGTCCAACGCGGAGAAATCTGGCATAGTCCTCCGTGTGAAAGGCGGCATACACCTTCAAGGCTGAATTCTTGAAGTAGTGGTTGAATAGAGCAGCGGAGCCGAGTACCATTCATGTTTAAAGCACCAAGGTCGAACTAGGGGACAGCTTCAAAAGGACTCCCTTCCTGCAGAGAGTTACAGGTCCGCATAGATCGAATACTGTCTTCAAGGATGATCGGTCTAAGAGCTGATGGAGAAATCTCGCAGATGGGGTAGCTCGCTCGATGCCCCGGCGAAGTGCCTGCGTGGCAAAGCTGACCAAGGGATGCATCAGCAGCTCGCGGCTCATTTTTGAGAGATGGCTCGAAAGCTCCTGGCCGCGCTGATTGGAGTGAAGATTGCGTGTCAGGGTGGAGAAGGAACATTAAAATATTGCTCCTATGAATATATATCTTCATTTGTTAGATATCCTTGCTGACTATGATTACTACTACTATTAATGCTATTCAAAGGTTGTGCTGCTTGTGCACGTTGCGCATCTGCCGCTGAACTGCAAAGCCCCAAACAGGTCAGAGTTTCGTCAGGTGCGAAAGACATCAGGAGGAGAACAATGTACCTGGCAAAATTCGCCCTTCCCCCGGACCGTCCTGGACACCCTTCTCTGTCAGCGCCCCCAATCCTCTGGACCTACTTAAGGCCTCACAGCTGAGTTCTTGCATCTACACTCTCCAATCTACGTACACATGTGGCCGATTCGATGGCGCGCCTCCTGGCAGCCATCTCGTACGGAGAATAGTAGTCCTGGACGTCCGGAGACAGATATGCACGGCTCCACACGAAGAGCTTGCATGGCCGTCTCACAAACCTGTAGAGCTGGATAGCTTGTGTCATACTTCCAGAAGTCAAACACGGATACAGAAACGCGATGCACTCAAACAGTGTGTGTGTGTGTGTGTGGATTTATGTTCATGGCACCTCATCATCGTCTTCGTCGGCCAGGCCGAATCCGCCCATGGCCTGTACGCAGCTTAAGGATATGTTATTCTCCTCTCGAGAAGGCAGCCGAAGTACACCAGCAAACTTAACACTGAATGCGTAGTAGCCTTTCGACGACATGATGGTGATAAGCTGCATCTCTTCTTGTTTTGCCCGTCTCGCCCGCTTTGCACTCTCTTCTGCTGCCGGGTGTGTCTTCCGATCAGGAATCCGGAATCTAGAGGAGGAAATGCAAGCTGCTGATTCTCCTCGTCCCATGGGACGAGGAGACAGTCCGCGGTTCAAACTGCTGAATCTACACAGGCCTCCGCGAGGATAGACTTTGCCACCTGCTTTTCGTGAAGTGCCTGGCGCCATCTTCAGCGAAGACATCAGAAGCTCTAGGCCTCTAGGCACGGCAAGATGCCACGCCGATGCGTAGAGGCATTCTGGGGAAGGAATCTTTCTGCTGCATCTTTAACTTTAAGGCTGCAAGACGGCATCTCGAGAATGACTAGGGCCTAGTGGCGGATGTCGGGGGAGGGGGGGGATAAGGTGATGCGAAAATGCGACAAGCCCTCCCAACCCGAAACAGCAAGAAGTGTACAAGTCTATGCCATGGCAGCATCAAGCCACCGTTTCAAGACAGCAGCAGTGATGGCAAGCACATCAGTAGCCAACTGGGGTCTGACGACATCATCGTCGTGATCGCAATCGTAATCGCAGCAATAGCAGTAGCAGTAGCGGTGGCAGTGGCGGCTCCGGCTTCAGTAGCAGTTTTAGTAGTAGTCGTCGTCCTCCTCCTCCTCCTCCTTCCTGTTGTTGTCGTTGTTCGTCGCGGTCGTCGCAGTGAAAACCAGACCAGACGTGAGTATGCAAGGCACAAGTGACAAGCAAGTAGCAGTCAGGACAGGAAGCAGCAGTAGTTGAACTGGTGTGACAAAAACGATGATGCACGATGCGATAGCTTCGCCCATATCTGCCATATCTGCCTGCCCCCAGCTATTGAATTGTAAACCACTCCAGCTGCCTGGTAAGCATTCAGGAGCGGCTCGATGGTCTGTGAGATAGCCTGCCATGCATTCGAACCCGGGCGAATCTTGAGAACCGAAATAGGGGAAAGCCAAACCGCAAAAGCATTGAAAGTGAAGATGTATCCCGAGCTCAGGGCTCAGGAACTCGAAGGGGAATAAACGGCAGCACCGTCGCTTACGCAAAGAAATTCGCGTCGCTTGCGCAAAGATTTGCCCAGTCGCTTGCGCAAAGACGGGTGTCGAATCCATTGTAAAAACCATAGGAACGTGCACTTCGGTCTTTTTCGGAAATGGCTTCAACAAGCATGGAAAAGTGTCGAATCCATTGTAAAAACCATAGGAAAGTCCACTTTGCAAGTTAGCCCAAGTTGACGACATTTACGCGCCAAAGTGCCGAATCCATTGTAAAAACCATAGGAAAGTGCACTTGCCCAGTTGGCAAGTGCTGGCCGAAAAGTGCGTTTTGAGCTGTTTTAGGAAACATCTGACAGACCATCGAAAATGCACTTTTGGAGTCTCGAAAAGCATGCTTTCGTTGGTTTCCGGATAAGCGTTTTCAGAGCATGCTTCGGGGGCTGAAAACGGCACCATCGAAAACGCACTTTTGGAGTCTCGAAAAGTACGTTTTGGTTGGTCCTGGGGGGGGTGGGGCTGGGGGGGCGGGGTGCATGGGGGGGTCGGGTTGGGGCTGGCTTCCTGGCTGTAGTGGGGTGGGGGGGGGTCGGGGCTAAGAACGTCAGGTGTGACGCTTGCAGCAAAAGCAGTTTCATTGCTTCCATGGAAAACGTATTCTTGGAGGCTCGAAACGCGCGTTCCGATTGGTTCTTGGGGGGGGGTGGGGGGGTGGGGGGGTGGGGTCGGGGGCTTCGAACGTCCGTGTTTGGCGCGTGGAGCAAGAGAAGTCGCGTTGGCAGCACTACATTCTGGTTGGTCCCATGGCGGGGCGGGTGGGTGGGGGGTGGGGTGGGGGGCTAAGAACGTTGGTAATTGACGCATGCAGCAAGAGAAGTCGCGTTGGCACCAGCACGTTGTTGTTGGTCCCAGGGGGGGAGGGTGGGTGTGGGGTGGGGGGCTAATACCGTTCGTGTTGGACGCGTGCAGCAAGAGAAGTGTCGCTGGCAGCAGCACGTTCTTGTTGGTTCCATGGGGGGGGGGCTAATAAAGTCCGTGTTCGACGTGTTTGACGTGGGGGGCTAAGAACCATTTTTTTTCATGTTAGTTCCAGGGGGGGCGGGTGGGGCTTGGTTGGAGGGGGGGTGGGGTTGGGGGCTAGTAACGTCCGTGTTTTTGTCGCGTGCAGCAAAAGAATTCTCGTTGGCCCCAGCATGCTGAAAACGTCCGTGTTTGACGAAAACGCACTCTTGGAGGCTCGAAACGCACGTTCCGGTTGGTCCTGGGGGGGCGGGTGGGGGGGTGGGGTGGGGGGCTAAGAACGTCCGTGTTTGGCGCGTGGAGTAAGCGAAGTCGCGTTGGCACCAGTACGTTCTGGTTGGGGGGGCGGGTGGGGTGGGGGGCCAAGAACGTCCGTGTTTGGCGCGTGGAGCAAGAGAAGTCGCGTTGGCAGCAGTACGCTCTGGTTGGTCCCATGGGGGGGCGGGTGGGTGGGGGGTGGGGTGGGGGGCTAATAACATTCGATTTTGACGCTCGTTGGCAGCAGCATGTTTGGTGCGAGGGGTGGGGTGGGGGGCTAACAACGTTGGTAATTGACGCGTGCAGCAAAGGAAGTCGCGTTGGCACCAGCACGTTCTTGTTGGTCCCAGGTGGGGAGGGTGGGGGGTGGGGGGGAGCCAATAACGTCCGTGTCTGACGCGTGCAGCAAGAGAAGTCTCGCTGGCAGCAGCACGTTCTTGTTGGTCCAAGGGGGGGGCTAAGAACGTTCTTTCATGTTGGTCCCAGGGGGGCGGGTGGGGCTTGGTGGGGGGGGGTGGGGTGGGGGGCTAATAACGTCCGTGTTTTTGTCGCGTTCAGCAAGAGAAGTCTTGTTGGCCCCAGCACGTATGTTTCTTTGGTCACAGGGGGGGTTATGCGGAGGCCAATAACGTCCGTGTTTGACGCTTGCGGGGATAATAACGTCCGTGTTCGACGTCGCGCAGTTGTCGGCACCAGTGGGGGGCTAATAGGTTTCGAGTCGCTTGCTTGCCCGCATGCAGCAAAACCGCCGCCCCCGTCGAGGTGTCGAGTCGCTTGTTTGCCCTCAAGTGCTTGAAAACAGAGCCTAAGAACCGAAGCGGCGAAGCCCCATCCTGTGACCTGTGCACCAAAGCGCGCTCGGATCCTGCAAAGCACAAACTCTGAACGGACCGCCGAAATGTGCTTTTGCAGCCTGGAAAAGCAGGTTTTGGAAGGTCCGAACCTCATGCCGCTCGGAGGCGAGGCAAGCGAGGTAACCGCTGCTTTCGTCCCCCTGACTCGCTCGTGCTGGGTTCCACATGAAGAAGCTTGGCTTGGCCTGGCCAGTAGCCGACACCTCGCGTTGGACACGCCAAACTGCTGCCTCCCGCAAAGCGCAAACTCCGAACTGACCTCCAGAACGCACTTTTGCAGGCTCCAAAAGCACGTTTTGGAGGGGTTCCGACGACAGAACAGCCGCAGAATCCAAGAAGAAGAACTGCATGGTGCAGGAATGGGCTTGCAAAACACGCTTTCTTTCCACCATCTGCGAATAACCAACATCGTTTCGAACGCCTGCGGCGTGAAGCAAAACCGCCGCCCCTGTCGAGGTTTGGAGTCGATTGCTTGCTTTCAAATGCTTCAAAACAGGGGCTGAAGACCGACGCAGCGAAGCCGAATCCTGTGGCCCTGCCAGCACTTTAACAACTTCGGAGCCAAAAAGCGCGATTTCGAGCGTGCACGCCCAAAGCCGGAAACCACGGCCCTGCCGACGTTTCGTGCACTTTCAAGCCTCCCGAACATAGCAAAGTTACAAGTAACGAACTCCGAATTCATTGGCCCTGCCAATACAAAACGCACCTCCGCGCGTACAAGCGAACGCCCAACCCTTTGCACAAGCGAACGGGCAAATCTTTGCACAAGTGACCGCTCTGCCGAATAAACTGATTCAGCACTGCATAAGAACGCCACGACAAAAAGGGTGCGACAAGCAGGTCAGCAACATGAAAGCACATCATGATGTGTCACTACTCGGGCCAGCGTTGGATGCTTTTGGACTGCTCTTGTAGCGAGAGATGCCCACACTAGTTTGCAGGACCTGCGGTTTGGAAAGGTGGCAGGCAAAAAAACACAGTTCGACAGTATTCATGACTGATAGCCTGATCGCAACTGCGACTGCGACAGCTGGTTCTCTCTGAAACCAGCCGCACAGGCATCACGCTGGAAAACAGCTACTGCTACGTATTCGACTCGTTATCTGATCAATCCTGACAGAGCATCTCAAGCAAGCGAATTGCGAGGCTTCGTGCCTTGAGACCCAGCTTGGTGTCGTACTTCTCAGTGGCCTTCTCCTCCGAATGCAGTGCCGAGGCGAGGCATCTCTTGCCACCCAGGGCAAAGAATCCGCAGTTACTTTGCATCTTGTGCTGAAAATCCCGGAAACCTTTGGCCTGACACCTCTCTGGGGACAAGCCCCTTCAGGAATACCGGAGATTGAAACAGTCGATCTACAAGGCTTCAAACCTGGAGGCACGGAAACTTTGCGCTTGGCCCTTCTTCGACCCTGGTCCCAAGCTCTCAACCGTCACGCCAAAATCCCGCCAACAGAATTTGAGGTTCGTGGGAATGACACACCCACAAAATACCAGAGTGATGTTGCCTGGATCATATCTAGCTCGCTGATAAGAAGCCAGAATGATGGATGCGAGCCATCGCTATTCTTCACACGGACATCAAAAATCAGAACCCGGCAGGCTTTACAAGTTGCACGAGTGCAATGATCAACGCAGTCGTCGTCGTCGCCGAAGTAGCAGTGATCAGTGGCAGGAGCAGCAGCAGCAACGGTGGCAGTGGCAATCGTAGCCGTGGTCGCCGGCGCCTCTTGTACCCCTCAGTTTGAGCTACTTTATGTCCCAACTTTGGCCTCTTCTGAAGGATGCCGCAGTTTAACGAAAAGCACTGCCAAGACTGGACCCATCGACGTACCCAGTAGAAGCCAGATACGCCCCCGCGGAAATCCTTGCAGAAGATCGCAGCCTATCAACCTGCCCTCCGCAACAAAGGTATCGAAAGAAGATCTGTGCAAAAGGGCCCCCAGCTCACAACATCCGTCGAACAGTCTGAAACTCTTGCAGTCTGTTTTTTGGGCCTGATTCTGCCCCCTGCCCAGAAGAAGATACAAGGAGAGCATCTCGAAGCGGAGGCAGCACCTTGGAGGGTGATGGGAACTTGACCTTCCCATGCTCTTCTTCTGCGCGTGTGGCGGAAGTAAGAGCTCGAATAAAACATGACAATGCCAGGCTTGGAGCCACAGCTGACCCCGTAAAACACGGCTGAGCCTTGCATTGCCTTCAACATATCGTTGAGCTTAGGAATTCCTCCAAACAACACAAATGCACACAGCAGTGGTCTACGAAACTAGGAGTATCTGAAACTCGCGCCAGGCTGCTCATGTGTCTCCACGAAGACCCGTTGGGTGGTGCTTCGAGGCTGCTGGAGGTGCAGGTCGACCTTCGCAGTGCAGAGCATATTATCATTTGTTGGGCCTCCCGGCATTTTGGCTTTGGGCTTGGGGTTTCCCTGGCGGGTTGCGGCTTGTAAACCCTCGCAATGCCTGGGCTGGATAAGTCTGTTAGGTCGGAAGGCTTTCAGAATTCTAAAGGAGAGGCCCTCCAGTTCTTGTCTCTGACGCCAGAATGCAACATGCCGAAGATCCGCCAGGAGTTTCAAGTCCCACGTCCGAGCTGTTGGCTCTGATCGATCGGGTGCGATCACGCAGATAGGAGTAGACCTTGCGCAGCAGGCTTCAACAGGCAACGTCAAAGCAGTTGAATAGTAACAGCAATAACAACACTGACAACAACAATAACACTAATAACTCATAACAATAATAGCAACGTTACTGTTGCCAGGGTGTTCAGCCTCGCTGCACGGTTTGGGCTTTCGGAATTCTGTTAGGCTGCGGGATGCTGCGGGTATCGGCGGAAAGGGCTTGAGTTAAAGTTGTGAAAGCTTCCAAAATCCTGTGCTTCAGCGCCAGAAACCCATCGATTAGTAGCATAATCTTATTGATTTTGGTAGGATTCAAACAAGAAACATAGCATATCTGCAGCAGCGTATGGCAGATAGGCCGTCCGTGACAGAGTATCATGTGTGGCAATGTGATTATTGTATGAGTTGTCTTCGTGTCTAGCTTCTATGGTCATACACGATATGATGTGCAATAGCATCTGTTCATGTTGGGCAATATGCAGGTCCCTAGCGGTCCCTAGATGCCTGGAGTGCCATCTGTCCTACCGCAGAAACTGCAGTATATGTGGGAGCTTCCGAAAATAGGGGCTCTTGATATAGTACCCTAAATAGTAGGATCCTTATTGTAAGGACCCCAAAATAAGGTACCCCTAATTTCGGAAACTTATACAGGACTCAGCTCATCGGTCGCCTCGATGTACGGGATGGCTTGGACAGCAAAGCCGGGCTTCGGATTGCTGTCGAAGTCCAAGATCTCCTGCCCGGGTCTCGCAGTCCCTGGCAGTGCCGCCGCGGATAAAACAGGCAAGAATACAATCACAAGCACTAACCATACCAAGAAATAGTAGCTATATCTATACTGCTATTAGTATAGCTATAGTGTGATATTTTGATTTAGCTTGTTGCAAGACTGCAATTGCTTTTGTACCTACTCTCACCATCTCTCTGACAGCCGCTGCTCTCGGCTCCGTCATCAGGTACTCCATTGTCTTCCAGCACGCATCCAAGGATCTCACATCCTGGCTTCGGTAGGCCTGTCGCAGCACATGCAGTGGGTGTTCCTCGCAACTTCCGGGTATCCACGCATATCATGGTGTAACTGAACACCCCTTAAGAGAGGAACAGCCGCAGTCGAAGTCTTACAGAATCCTTCTCGGAGAAACTTCGATGAAACACCCTATCAGAACCCATCGGAAGCCTTATCAGCAGAACTTCGCTGATATTTCTTCGTGGCCAACTTCAAGTCTACCTGAGCGCAGGCAGCATCGAGTCTGCCGGGCAGCGAGCTTTGGCTATCTCTGGAGACATGGCGTCAGTGTCCGGGGCTCCGACTTCGGGATTCTTTGGATCGGTGCCCTTCTTCCACTCGAACTTGTCGAGTTGCCGAGTCATCTCGCGCTCTCGGGCCTGAAGACCAAGAAACCCTGAGGCAGTGTGGGGGCGGAAGGAAGGGGCGGCTCCTAAGGTGCTGCATATCGCGGATTTGTCTCCCGTCTCAGTCGGTGGCTTCTTCGCGCGAGCACATTCCTGTGAGCTCTCCGATGATCGGCCCGCCATCGATGCCTCCACCCTGGCAGGCAGCGTAGTCTGGGGAAAACGCAAGCAAAGAACACAAGGGCCATTCCAAAGGACTTCACGGCCTCTGCATCATTGAAGCTGACCATTGAGACCTGGCTGATGGAGACTCGAGTCAAGAGTTTCAGGTCATTGCCCCGAACCCTGGCCCTCAGATCGAAAAGAAGTCCGTCGTAGCACATGGCGTATACTGACCACTGCCCGCAGCCGCCGAGTCATCAAATGCTTTCTTTTTTACTCTAAGTCATCGTTGCCCCACCACCATCATCAGTATCATGTTACTTATATCTTCAGCTTCTGTACAAGAAAGGAAACATGATCACTCTCAGCATAACCACAGCCTCCTCATCATCATCATCATCATCATCATCATCAAAGTCATCAACAACAGCAACAACATCGTCATCATCATCACCACATATGAACGCCGTCATGTGGATACTCAGTACGTTGAGCACATTGAGACATTTGAGAACGAGAGGTGCAAGAAGTGTCGTTCAAGAACTGTCATCTCCATAGTCCATAGCCTAGGCAGGTTTACTTTGCCCTACTTGCCAATGTGCCTCCGAAAAGGAGCTGTCATGCTTATTTCTATTCTGAAGAAGCGTGCAACGATAACTGCCATCCCAAACACAAACATCGTCATGTTCCACTGCATCATCACCATCAACAACAGCAATGCCACGTTGCCAAACAAAAAGCAGCATCGTGATCATCAGCATGAAGCATCAGCACCACCCCCGCCGCCACCACCACCAACAACAACGAATGTTGTTCTTGGCGCCCTTGTCAACGTAAAATTCTTGCCAGGCGGACAGGAGCCCTTTCATTCAGGTGTGTTTGGAACCGTGCCGCGCGTTGCGCCCTCATGTCCCTGTCGCCCTGCACAGTGAACAGTCAAGGCTTAGCAGGTAGGATTCCTGCCGTCGGATCTTCGGCTTTGTTGGAGATGCAACCCTCCGGAAGAAGGAAAGTAGAGTCTTCAGCAGGATAGCGAAGTCAACAGCCATTATAACGATGAATCCTTTGAGCCCGAAATCACAGTAGCTGCAAACTCGCCATACATCGTTGTATCCTGCTACGCACTGAAAGAAACACATGTGTTCGCTGTGTCTGGTTCCGGGGTAGGATGTGGGCTACGGGCCATTCGGACGGTACTTTGGGAACCTGTTATAAGCTCGAACTGAGGAAGGATTCGTGGCCCAGGCATTGGAATGGTATTGAGCAAGTTTAGACCATGAGCAGATGCGGTGCAACGTCGCAGCCTACCACAACCTTTCTGGCGTTTCAATGCCCTTCAGAAACTTCTTTCTTTAATCCAGGGCGGGAACCTCGGATCCCTGGGTCAAAATCTCGTAAAAAAAACACAGTCTGATGTCGTTGCATGTGCGTGTCGTTCTCCGAGTGGTGTTCGTGCCCTGCTGTTGTTTCGTGCCTTACACCCTCAACCCGTGCAAATGCCAGGTCAACGTCCGCATAGGCCAATATCCCGCAGGCCAATTCTAAATCGCCGAAGACCACACTTGATCATCCACTCATCCACCAACACATAAACGATAGCAAGACTAGTCTTGATGATAATCATCACAATAACATTTGGGTGGTTGTCAAACTTACCACCCATTTAATGTAGTGTCAGTCCTGCGCCAAGGACCGGCTGCTGAACTGCTCCTCCGCCGCCTTTGAAGGCCAAGCTGCCTGGCGAACAAAACGTGACGCATGCCTGGACTAAGCGACTTCTGCCCGGTGCCCATGAACCTAAAGCCAGGTTTGAGGGTTTAGGGGTTTAGGGCTTAGGGGTTTAGGGGTTTAGGGGGCGTCTGGACAGTGCCAGGGATGCACTGCCCAACATGTACAGCCTTCTGCTCTTCAGGTATCCAACCCCTGAGACAACAAACGTCACCCGCACCATCCCCAAACGGAGCACCAAGAAGCCTCCGAACCGCCGCTGATGAAAGCGTTGCAGTACCTGCTGTGTGGGCAAGATGTTGGAGCAGCATGTTTACGTCAGACTTTTGATAAGATTATTGCCGCTAATCTTGATTTCCATAAAACGGCTGCCATTGTTGACCTCTGTTGTTGTATTGGCTGCAACTTTATCCTCAAAATGTGACTGTCGCTGTGTCTGTTTCACATTGTTGATGTTGCGTTGCGAATGCTGTCGCTCTAGTTGTTGCCATTCTTTTTGCTGCTGCTCATCATCATACGGTTGCCCTGGTGGTCATTGGTTGTTGATATCGGTTTAGTTGCTGGTGGTCGCATGTTGGCTGTTGGCATTTTCTCGTTGGGTTTTGGTGCTGGTGATGTTGCTGTTGCCGGTGGTGATACCGCGGTGGTGCCGAGGTTGGTGGCAACAGCAGTGATAGCAGCAGTGACTGCCTTGGCCGCGGTGTTGGTAAGGTGGTTGTTGGACTCATCCAGATAAGTGGTGGTGGTGGCGGCGGCAGCGGTGGTGGTGGTAGTGGTAGCAGTAGTAGAAGCAGTAGCTGCAGAAGCGGCAGTAGCAGTAGCAGTACAGTGGCAGCAGCACAGGAGTAGGAGCAGGAGTGGCAGAGGAGTAGGAGTAGGGGTAGACAAGGAAAAGGTGTCGAAGTAGTAGGGGCTGCAGTACCAGCGACAGGCCGCAGTCGTCGTCGTAGTCGTAGCAGTAGAAGTAGTAGTAGTTGTTGTAGTAGTAGGGGTAGTCATAGTAGTGGCAGTGGTAGTGGTAGTGGTAGTAGTACAGTAGCAGTAGCAGCAGTAGTCGCAGTAGCTTTTGCCTCGCCCCAGTGCCGGTGTTTGTGATCGCGGCCGCTCTTTATTCCGAAACTATATGTCCGCTCTGATCAAGTACCAGCAGTGGGCAGCGAGGAAGTGCTAACCGATATGCACATACTCCATGCCAGAGCTAGGCAATTCAGGCGACGACCATTCCAAGCATAATGCGACAGTACGGATACTGAAAATGCAATGAACCGTAGCAAAAAGGGGCAACAACATCACAGTGGCAACAACTGTTATCTCGCATGACTGAACTTACACTCCGACAGTCAAGCTAGCTCGAACTAGTCCAGAATCCGAAGTTAAACTAAACTAGGGCCCCGACTGCTGCAGAGTTTGGTTGAAAAGCGCTCGGAATTTGCCGGGTCGGACACCAAAGGAGTCCTGAATCTCATCAGAAAGCTCCTGCGATTCTCGCGGCTGGTTCTTCGTCTTGGGGGTTCTGAGTTTTTGGGGTTTTGGCTAATAAGGCCACTGTCCTTAGACACATCGGAAGCTAACCGGTCAGACCGGACACACATCTCTTTGCACTGAAGCCCTACCAGAAGCTAGCCAAGCTCCTTTTGCCGCACGCGGCCGCCGGTGTTCTCCAACCTTCGCCAGGTGCCGGATTACACTACAGCTTGGAGCTGTACCATGAACTGTCTTAGAGTATCTCGCCCTTGCGAGCAAAGGGCAACATTCCAACCAATCCCAACACAACACGGAGCTTTTCCTGAAGCATGCGGGGGAAGATATGATAAGCAACCGTACGAAGGTAAACATGTCGTGGGGGGGGGGGGGGGGGGCGTCAATCGTGATAAGCTCACAGAACTGATAATTAAGCGTAAGGAAGACAAAACGGTGATGCTGATAAACGTGGTGACGATATGTGACGATCTTGACCACGGGAAGGAAATGGCTAGTGCGAACGATAATGCCGTGATGATGATGATGAGGATGCTGAGGGTGAGCCTGATGATTACATTGGAGCATCGGTTTGGGCAGTGGCATGATGGCTAGGGTGTGCAGGTGGCGGCGAGGGAAGTGTGACAACGATGATGAGTATTGCGACAGGCGCAGTACCAGCTGAAAACGCTTAATGCTACCGATGCAGTCCTACATGCATGCTTCCCGGAGCGCGGTCGACAGACACGGACAGGTCAGGAGCGAAGCGATCTTGGATTGGAGGTCATGGCTTAAGGGTTGGGGCATCCGTGGCTCCAGAGCTGCACAAAGTTTCGGGAGCTTTGACCGCGCTGAGTGGAGCCGCCTGGAACCTCTCCGAGCCTCACTGTGTAAACCTCAAAGCATGTCTAGTCAGGGGAAATCTCAAGGACTACGTACTACTAATTAATAACAGCAATAATCGTGTTCATGACACTAGTAGTGATCATAGTACTAATATGAATAGTTGTAATAATGACATAAAGATATTACATTCCAAGAATAATTAGAAAGTTAGAAATGAGACCACAAGATTGCTAGCCATAGTAATGACGCTACTCATGAAAATGCTCATGATAACAACAATACTCATGACACTACTACTACTACTACTACTACTACTACTACTACTACTACTACTACTACTACTACTACTACTACTACTACTACTACTACTGCTACTGCTACTGCTACTGCTACTACTTCTATTGTTTATTGTACTACTACTACTACTACTACTACTACTACTACTACTACTACTACTACTACTACTACTACTACTACTACTACTACTACTACTGCCGCACTACGACGACTACTACTATCAATACTAGTAATCGTGATAGTATCAACGAGACCAGTAATCGTCTTGAGAATAGTAGCAATGATGCTGACGAATTTTCACTACAACAGTAACCATAACCATAGCCTTAGCAATAACAATAATAGTATCCATCTAGTAATGATAAGAATAAGAATAACCAAGATAACCATAACATTAGTAGTAATGATAAGAACAAGAAGAATGAGGCCTCTCATTGAGCCATACTCGGACTTGCTCTCGCAGGTCCTCGCATATTGCATCACAATCTTCCGTGTTTTAATTTAGGGCTTAGGGTTTAGGGAAGTCATTATGAAGTCATGAGCGAGAAGTGTAGTATAGCCGGAAAATATCATTTTGGCTTCATGGAACCGACTGCGATACAGCCTCAGGACTTGAAGTGCCAAGCACCCCCAAGTAGGCCACGTTCAACTGTAGCCCTGCGCCCAAGCCAGCAACGTCCAAGAACCAGAGGCCAACAAATGCCGAAGTCCTATAGCACTTTCCAAGCCGTCCGAGAAAAGCCAAGAACTGCATGCCAGACTTCTCGGGTATGCCCTCGTGGGGTTCTCTCAACTTCGATGCCGTCCAAATGGCTATATACGACCAGCAAACTGATGAATGACGTCGTGTTTATGGCTAGCTGCTTCAGTGGTTGCTATTGCAAATTGCAAA